TTAATCAGGTGGGGGTTAGGAGGACCGCAACACCACACCAAACATGACTGCGGTCATGTGGACCCCACAAAGACAGCAGGAGGGTTAAAAGCTACTCAATGGCTAACATGCTAGCTTGGGTTAGCATGAGTCTGTCACAACCATAGATCTGTTATAAAATGTTTGGAAGTCACTCAGTCTGCATTAGACCAATTGAAATGAAGGAAAATAGTTGCAATTTATTTTTGAAATGATTCTGAAATCGATTTAGAGGCCAAAGCACTTCCTTTTTCTCTTCCATTGATTTCTTTATGCTAAACAGTCTTATTGAACGTTGCTTGGCATAAATGTTTAGGCTGTGTACTTTTACAAATATCCACTTTTTTTTAAATATTCAATTCGAGTAGAAGTRTAGCTGAACCTAAACTAAGACTTAGTTGAACTTGGTCTTTTGAAAAACRTAACTTAAAAATTCAACAAAGCAGAGAAATCTGAATAAAAGTCCTTTCATATGTTACAGTTTAATAGTAATCTTCAGAAAGTCGCAATTTTGCGAGACTTTTGCGCTTTATTTGTTTCTGCTTGATACGTGTTTATGCTCTCTTAAAAAAAGGTTCTCTTTTTTGCGGTGAATACTTTTAAGATTTGTAAGTACAGAAAAACATGTATTTCCCAAAAAAGCTAAATCTAACTTTAAATTTTACTTTTGTTTTCTACATTTTTTGTGCATTTTTCATTCACTCTAAGACTTACATCAAACTGGCTGTTAATAAAAATAGGTAGGGTGGGGTCCAACTTTTTTTGTTGACCCCTGAATATTCCTTTTTTTTTTTGGGAATTGGCCCCTGCTGTCCTTCCTTCCTGTGCTGTTCGCTGTCCTGGGCGAGATCTGTCCACTGTATGTCCACTCTGTGTCCAGTTCACTCCCGTACTGTTTCACCATCACAACTGCATCCCCGGTAGAGAAAAGAGGAAAGAGAAGTCAAAGGTCAAACCTTTCGTTCCCAGATATCCAGGAGGATTTAACATGTCCTGAAATGAAARGGGGGGGTATGTTTGCTGTGTTCACTGACCTCTGAGAAAATGACTTTTGTGCTCAAGTCTTCAAATTTAGGAAGACGTGGCTGCTTTTGAAAACACAAAGAAGGTTTTGAGATTTGTTCAATAAATCAAGCCATTCGCTTCAAAGTTGAAGCAAAGCTCTAAAATCTTTATTTCTAAAACCTCATCCTACAAATATTAAGCCTGCTRTATATTTGGTGCTTTGTTGCACATTATGGCATCTTATCCTTTCATCACTGCACCAGTCCACCAAGTTTATTAAATATTGATTCTGCAGTTCAAAAGGCATACAATAAACCATCCTTAGAGTGYGGATCCAACCTATGGATGGATATTATACCTTTATTATTGCCAACGTGTGGCCTCTAATAGAAGACGATGTTGCAGCTTAGACATTTATCTTTTTACATGCTTTTACTTTTTGCTCGCTGGGTTTTTCCTCTTTATATCAAACCGGATCTACAAAGCAGACAATATGGAGTTGTGTTCATACAAATATGCATTAACGCACACATCGGAGTTTTGGATCTGCCATAGGAAAGGTGAGTACCTCTGGATTTCCTTCCACCTGGAGACTCAAGGTAGGATCAACAGAGTCCAGACTTAAGGTTCTAAATWACCAAATGTTTGAAAGGTTTGAATGTTTCGAGGCAAGCGTCTACAAAAGCAGAAATATTTCTATCAATCTGACGATTTTATACCAAAAGCCCGTGAATTTTGAAATTGGAGTCTAGACAGCGTTTCAGCCACTCTGTGGTTCCTAAAAGTCTATTTAAATCATAAAACCTCCTGCGAACAATACAAATACAACTGGTGTTATTCACACAAAGAATGCTTCCTGGTTGAAAGCAATCTTTTATGTATGATTTAGCAGCTAATGTGTTCAGGTAGCCTGTCGGACACCACAAACGCCGTCTCTCTTCCTGCCATTTCCGAAAACCTTATAAACACCCATCACAAAGCTTCTCAGGTGCATTCAATGAATAACACATGAATAAATCCCCCAATCAATGCACAACCATTCATCTGGTGAGTAGACGGCAGTGATGTTGGATCAATGCKGGACTCAACAAACACAAAGATATTGTTTGCAAATGAAACGCGAGCATTGGACCGAATGAAACATCGGAGCAAGGGGGTGTTGAAAGTGTGCCGAGGGTGCTGGGACCAGTTTAGGTCGTGTTTTGCTCTGGTTCTACACAAAGCCGATGCGTATCCATGCTAAAAAATAAGCCGAGTCGTTCATACCAACAACTAAAAGGAAGCGCTGCCCTCGGAGATAATACAGAGAGCTGATCACAGGAACTAGATGAGAGGGAAAGCACTGTTTGATTTGAGCTAATGGAGGTTAACTGCCAGCAGAGGCCGACGCCGCGTCAGACTCYGACGGCAGGAGGGCCGATGATTCCTGATGGAGGTTCAGGAAGGTTTGCTGCGCAAAAAACCAAGAGAGCCAAGGTCACAGTGATGTTTTGTTCATGCTGAAAGAAAATAAGAATAAAAACATTTCTTTATAGAAGAATAACTTAAATATAAATTTCCTGCACCTGAAGTTTCAGTGAATTAGAGTTTCTAAACCCTGTTTTTCTATTGGTTTGGTTAATTTAATCACAGTGGTCTTCAGTGGGTAAATGTGAAGAAGATAAAGCAGGAATATAAAAGAAAACTGCAAATCATGTGCTGAACATTTATAGATCATGAAACATGATTATATCAGGGTTTTTAGTTTTATTCAGTTATTC